TGCTATCATGTCTCCCCTAGTCCTTCTCTTCATTAAACTAGACATCCCCAGTTCCTGCAACCGTTCTTCATGTATTTTAATATCCAGGCCTTTTATCGTCTCTGTTGCTCTTCTCTGCACTCTTTCCAAACCTGGGATGCCCAGCTGCCACGTTGCCACAACAGAGCGAGCCGAGAGAGCCAGCCCCATGGCACCTGAACCACGTGTCGGGTCCCACGCCTCGCTCCGGATGTAGGGCAGCCCTGGGGTGCATGCATGCAGCTGAACCTTTTGCACAGACCGCAGGGGGAGTTCCGTGAGCTTGTGGTTGTCAGGCGTGGCTGTGCCGGCTGTGGGTTTTTCGGGCGGCTTTGGTCGCGCATTGCTAGCGTGACGGAGCTGCTGAAGGGTGGCTGGCCCTCCCAGCTCGGCTGTGCAGGAGGAGGGGGAGGAGGGGGAGGGGGAGGAGGAGGCATCTGGGCCAAGCCGGGCTGAGATTTCCTGCTGGGGGTGACGCTTGTCGGTTGCGACTTCCTCCTCCGTTGGGGAAGCCTGGCAGTTGTGCCCAGCGTTGTGTTGACAATGATCCCTGGGCTGTTTCTGCACATGCTTTGCGCATCCTTGGGAGGGTTGCAACTCTAATGCATAACCCAGATGGCGACTATTTAGGAATGTCCTCATTTACACAAGCAGTTCCTTATTTTATTTGAGCTTAAGACCGTGGCTTTTTTTGTCTCTCTGTTTATTTCCTTATTTATGTGTTTCCTGCCTTTGTTATTTTGGCAAATAAATTAAGAGGGAGAACATATCCAAGGCCCCTTCTTCCTCCTATTTCCCCCCCCCATCACAACAACCCTGCGAGGAGGGAAGGGCTGAGAGAGAGAGACAGAGAGAGGGAGAGAGAGGGAGAGAGAGGAACTGGCCTTCTTAGGATCAGAGAATCATAAGGTTGGAAGGGATCTTGGAGGTCCTCTAGTCCAACCCCCTACCCAAGGCAGGAGGCCCTTTGCCATCCCAAAATCACCCAGCCAGTTTTTCATACCTAGGACTAGAACTCCCTGCCTCCTGGTGATTGGCCCAAAGTCACCCAGCTGGCTTTCATTGCTAAAGCGGGACTAGAATTCATCGTCTCCTGCTTTGTAATCTGTGCCTTAATCACTTGAGCACTTGGAGGTGAGGAAGGTCCCATGTTGCTGCTATTGGGATTAGGGTATCTGGTCAGCATTCTAGTCCTCAACTTACTCCTTGTCACTCGGACAAACATTCAGAATTATGACAGACCTCCCCAGAGCTTACATCCCAGTTTGAAGTTCTGATAGCCCCATTAACACCCACCAGCACAATTACTTGGATGCATTTTGGGCAGCTGGCCTTCACTTCTGACTGTTACCAATCCATTAACAATCACAATAGAGCTGGAAGGGACATTGGAGGTCTTCTAGTCCACCCCCCTGCTCAAGCAGGAGACCCTGCACCATCTCTGACAGATGGCAGTCCAGTCTTTTCTTGAAAGCCTCCAGGGTTGAAGCTCCCACAACTTCCAAAGGCAACTTCTCTTCCATGGGTTGATGGTTCTTCAGGTTGAGCCTCTCCTTGGTCAGCTTTCACTTTCTCAACTACCCATTTCCTGGCTTCCCTCTAGACAAAATCCTGGAAGACCTTTTTCACCATGGTTCATTGGTCTTTGCGACGGCGCAGCTCCTGGGTGCAGCTGGCCGGACACGAAGGTATGAATTGCACGAGGATGTCTGGGGTGCCCAGGGGATGGTCTGGGGAGGGGGATCAGGAGCCAAGGCCAAATCCACTTGGGCAACTTTAAGAGGGGTAGAATACAAGTCCCAGAATTCCCCAGCCAGCATGCTTTAAGATGGGTGGACTTCAACTCCCAGAATTCCCCAGTCAGCATTGGTAGAGGAGACCGATGTGGCTGCTGACCTCCAGATGTTCTCCTCCATTCCCCTTCCAGGCAACTTCAAGCCCAGCGAAGGGGGCCAGATCCTGAAGAAGTTCAGCGCCGTAGAGGAGGCCTGTCTGTCCGAGCTGATGACGGACGTCCTGCGCCCTTTTGTGCCCGCCTACCATGGGGTGGCGGAGGTGGGCGGCGAACGCTACATCCAGATGGACGACCTTCTCCGCGGACTTCAGCATCCCAGCATCATGGACTGCAAAATGGGCACCAGGTCAGAACGGCCTTCCTCGCAGGGCTGGCGGGGAGAGTTGGATTGGGGCCATCTTTCAATTACAAATCTTCCTCTTCCAAATCTTCCTGGATCCAAACGATCTTGCAATAAGAAAGGATCCCTGGAGAATGATTGGATAAGAGAGTGGGAATCCCTCAGCTGCACAAAGGACGGAGGAAAAAGAAAAACTTACTTCCTAGCCTATCTGGCCGTAAAAAGAGACGGAGGGAGATTCGTCCTTGACATATGACCACAATCGAGCCCTAATCATCTGTTGCTGAGTGTCACAGTTGTGAAGCGAGTTTCGCCCCATTTTTACGTGCTTCCTTGCCACAGTCATTAAGTGAATCACCGCCACTGTTGAATGAGTTACCCATTGTTAAGTGAATCTGGCTTCCCCATTGATTTTGATAGTCAAAGGAGAGAATGACTTGACTCCAGGACACTGCAGCCGCTCCCTTTTTGGCACTTTGAACCCCTCTTTATTGACCTCTTGTGAATTAATTGCAATCACCCAGCATAAAGTTAACTCCTTTAAGGAGTTAACTGCAGGACAGACCTTATCAGTTCCTTGCGATAATTGCCATGCCGGGCAGCCGAAAGGCTGCAAATTAAGTTCTGGCGAGCAGTCTTTGATGTACGAAACACAATGAGCAAAATCTTCAGAAATACGAACTGTTGTCTCCTACGACCACCACTCCCCTTTCCTTCTGTTTATTCCCCAGCCAGAGAGGGGCACATTCAGCATCCACAATGCCTTGCTTCCCGAGCTGGCTTCTTGTCCTCCGTTGTCCTCCTCTCCTAACTGCTCTGCACACAGGTTCATCTGGAATAGGCCCCATCTGTTCTTCCTCCCCACTTATCTCCGCCCCCAAAGGCAGCTGGGAAATGTCGGATGGCTCTGGCTCGATCTCTGCGTCCAACACAAAGCCTTCGCCAGATTCCAGAGCTGGCCCAAGTTCCTCCCAAACCTCCACATCGTCCGAGTCTGCCGCCAGCTCTGCTGGCAGCTGGTGGGCCGCAAGACTTCTAACCTTTTATTTAGTGTTGGTTCAAAGCTACAACGGCAATGAAAAAAGTGAGTTATGACCGTTTTTCAACCTGACGGCCTTTGCAGCAACCCCATGGTCATGTGATCAAACTTCAGACGCTTGGCATACTTATGACATATGTTGCTGTGTCCCAAGGTCATACGTGATCACACGTGATTGACAAACAAAATCAAGGGGGTAGCCAGATCCCCTTAACGGCCGTGCTACTAACTTTACCCGCTGCAGTGATTCACTTAAGAACTGCGGCAAGGAAGGTCGTAGAACGGGGCAAACCTCGAACAGTGTTTCATTTAACAACAAATGTTGGGGCAGGTGTGTTGTCGTAAGTCGAGGACCACCTTTATTCTTGAGTGAACGGGAGCGACAGTCCCAACTCATCAATATTTTCCTTTCCTCCTGGTTGCCCAGAACGTACCTGGAGGATGAAGCGGGCAAGGGTCCGCCCCGGTCAGTCCCCCGGCGAGACCTCTACCAGAAGATGGTGAAGATTGACCCCTGGGCCCCCACCCCGGACGAGCACAGCCAAGGGGCCGTCACCAAGCCCCGTTACATGCAGTGGAGGGAAAATTCCAGCTCCAGCACCTCTCTGGGCTTCCGGATCGAAGGGGTTACGGTACGTTGCCAAAAGTGCCCCATGTGGTCAGAATGCAGAATTGCAAGCTGACTCTGCCAACTGCCAGCAGTTTGATTCTGACCGGCTCAAGGTTGACTCAGCCTTCCGCCCTTCCGAGGTGGATAAAATGAGGACCCGGATTGTTGGGGGCAAATAGGCCCCCAACTGTAAGCGCTGTAAAGCATTGTGAAGCGGGATATAAGTCTATGGGCTAAGTGGAAAAGAAGGGCGGGTCATGGTGGTACAGTGGTTAGATTGCAGTATTGCAGGCTGCCCCTTGCCAGCAGTTCGATCCTGACCGGCTCAAAGTTGATTCAGCCTTCCGTCCTTTCAAAGTTGGTAAAACAAGGACCCAGATTGTTCGGGGCAAGAGGCTGACCCTATAAACCGCTTAGAGACGGCGAAGCAGTATATATAAGTCTTAAGTGCCGTTCCTATTTCTCTCTCTCTCTTTTTCTCTCTCTCTCTCTCTGTCTTTTCTCTCTCTCTCTCTCTCTCNCCAAACTATGAAAAATATTTATTTGACCATCTTTCCTTTCCCTTCACCTTCTCTCTCTCCTTCCCTCTTTCTCTCCTTCCTTCCATCTTCCTTCCTCCGTCCCTTCTTTTTCCCAATCCTTCCATCTCCCTTCCTTTTTCCAACCTCCTTCCTTCCCTCCCTCCTTCCCACCAATCTCCCTTCCTTCTAACCTCTCTTCCCTTTCCCTCTCCCATCCATCCATCTCCCATCCTTCTTCCTTCCTTTTGCCTTCCTTCCTTCTCTCCCTCCCTCCCACCAATCTCCCTTCCCCTTTCAACTATCTTTCCTTTCCATCTCCCTTCCATCCATCCATCCATCTCCCTCCCTTCTTCCTCCTTTCTCTCCCTCCCTTTTCCTGCCTCCCTCCCTCCCGCCCCTCTTTCACCCATCTTGCTCCCTCCTTCCCAGGTGATTGGGAGCTCGCTGCTCTTCCTCCATGATCAGAAAGGCCATGCCAGCATCTGGATGATCGACTTCGGCAAGACTCTCCCAGCACCAGCCCACGCCAACCTTCGCCATGATGTGGCCTGGACCCCCGGAAGCCACGAGGACGGCTACCTGATCGGCCTGCAGCACTTGACCCACACCATCCGGGCAACTCTGGCCAGAGCTGAACAGAGTCAGGAGCCTGTGCCGGGGCCCTCGTGAGCCTGTGGCCCCCCCCGGGACACAGCTAAGAGCGGCGGGAAAGGACCCTGCGCAATCGGGCGGGCAACATTGCTGGGCAAGGCAGCTGTGCTGCTTGAGGAGGGGGCAGCTGGGAGCCTCCTGGAAGAGCTGCCTGGCCAAACGGCGGAGGGAGCTGGGACCCCTTGCAGATCTTGCCGAAAAGCAAGCCATGGCCCTCCAGTGGGTTGCAAACACACCAGAAACACAACGCCAGAAGTTTGCGGCTAATGAATGCAACGGCGTTTCTTCTCCAGCCTTCGAATTCCTTTTCCTGCTCCCTCCATTCCCACCCCCCAATTGCTCTCCAAAGGGGTCTCTCATTCCCTGAAGCCATCCTCAGGCTCCTCCATAGTGGGCCTGACATACACCCCCCCTTTGGAAAGTAAAGCAGCTACAGCAAGGAGGCGAATAGAATCAAAACGAAAGGAAGAATTGTCGCATCGTAGCTCAAACGTTAACTGAGATCGCCTGAGTTTATTTGCGGTGAACCGAATCGTGGTTTACTCCGCCGGCCCAACTTTGCAGTTTCGTGCAGCTCCCTGGATGGCTGCACAGGCCGGACTTCTGCCGAAGACGGCGGCTGGGTCGTTATATGAGTCAGTGTGTTCAACCAACGCAGGCCGCAGAGTCTGTGCAGCCACACGCATGCACTCACACCCTGCACAGGTCGGAAACCTGTAGCTTTTGCAGAGACACGGCCTCCTCTTGGCATGTTGGGTTGAGATGAATTAAAACTCAGGCAGGGGTGCCTTTTCCAGGTTTTATCGGGAAGAAATTCCATTTTTTGTGTTGTGGATTTGTGTCTCTTTTTAATATCAAAGGAAATGAACTTAAGCCAGGGTTTTTCCAAACTAAGACACATTAAGATTTGTGGACTTTGACATGTGGGCTGAGGAATTCTGGGAGCTGAAGGCCTGTCTGAGGCGTTCTGGGAGTTGAAATCCTGGCTGAGGCATTCTGGGAGTTGAAGGCCTGGCGGAGGCATTCTGGGAGTTGAAGGCCTGGCTGGGGCATTCTGGGAGTTGAAGGCCTGGCTGGGGCATTCTGGGAGCTAAAGTCCCACCTGGGGCATTCTGAGAGTTGAAGGCCAGGCTGGGGCATTCTGGGAGTTGAAATCCTGGCTGGGCCATTCTGGGAGTTGTAGGCCTGGCTGGGCCATTCCGGGAGTTGAAGGCCTGACTAGGGCATTCTGGGAGTTGAAATCCTGGCGGGAGCATTCTGGGAGTTGAAGTCCACCAGTCTTAAAGTTGGCCCAGTTTGGAGACCCTTTAGGGTTAGGCGATCAATTCTCTTTTTTCCTCCCCTCCAAGCCCAGCTCACCCTTCTGGCTTCAAATTCCACCAGAGAATAAAGACAATGCAGTCTTTATTCTCTGCAACGCAACCCCCCCTCCCGAGACCCAAAAAAACTTGGGCAACTTTTGCACAAATTCCACTCTGGCCACAGGGAAGTCCCCGTCCCGCCACAGCCTTTTAATTCAACGCTCTATTTTGGGAGTTGCTGTGTTGCCAAAAAGCCAAGTCTCTAGTCCTCGTGGTAAAAAAAGAATTCGGGGAAAGGATTGTGGGTCAAAGTGGGTACTGAATGGGCCTTTTTTTCTGCCCGGATTCCGGCCTCCCTTTGCAAAGGGGGGCGGGCAGGGACCGGGTGGCTCTCCCCGTCCCCGTTCCCAGCGCTCATTCTGGGGCCAGTTGGCTAAAGGAACTGGGTTTGCTTTTTTTCCGGTCCCTCCTTCAGCTTTGCCAGCCTCCAGTGTGTGAAGTTGCCAGAGAGACGGAAGCCTCCCTTAAGGAGAGCCGGTGCGTGGGAGGCTGGGAGCCAGGGAGAGAAAAATAAAAGGGGGGGGGGGGNGTCTAGGTGGCGTCATCAGTGTAGGAAGGAGGTGATGTTCACTCTCTGTTTTCAGACAAGCATTGGTTACTCCTTGTTTAGGGTGTTAGCTTGTTGGTCTAAGTTGATAATTCCTTGACATGAGGATTGTTTGTCTGGTTTTAATCTCTGCTTATCTGGGGGTTTGTTGTTGGCTGTTTTGTTTCCTTTGGGGCTTTTGATGGCGTTTTTTTTAATGGTGTGCAAACATTGTTCCTCTCTTTTGCCTGGTGATGGCTGAATCCCAGATTTTCAAGAATTCCCTGATGGTTTTGGACTTGGCTTGGTCTAGGACAGGCGTCTCCAACCTTGGCAACTTTACGACGAGTGGACTTCAACTCCCAGAATCCCTCAGCCAGCCATGATTAACAATCACCTGCACCAAGCACTACCTCCATCATTGGATTGGGGTTAAAAAATGGTGTAGATCAGTGTTTTTCAACCTTCAATGCTTTAAGAGGTGTGGATGTTAACTCCCAGAATTCTCCAGCCAGACATGAGGAATTCTGGGAGTTGAAGTCCACACGTTGTAAAGTTGCCAAGGTTGGAGACCCCAACAAGTTTTCTTCTCTCCTTGGTTAGTTTCCATCCGTTGCTTCTTGTCCTGCCTTCTGGTGCTTTGGAAAATAAAGTTGACCCCCTCCTCTTCTTTGTGGCAGCCCCTCAAATACTAGGACACAACTGTCATGTCACCCCCTAGTCCTCCTTAATGTCAACGCGTAAAGCATTCGCTCTCAAGTTGCCATGGGCAGGAAGGGGGGGGGGGGAGATCTGATGGAGCAGTTGAGCACATTCACACATAACTTTCTCATAGTTGGATCCAGTGGTGAAATTCAATTTTTTTTACTAGTAGTTCTGTGGGCGTGGCTTGGGGGCACTTCCCTCCCACTCTCGGGCCAGCCAGAGTTGGCATTTGCCCGTTCTCCGAACTACTCAAAATTTCCACTACCGGTTCTCCAGAACCTGTCAGAACCTGCTGGATTTCACCCCTGATTGGATCTCGGATTACGGGAGCCGACCTGATAAGACATGTTTTTTACAGCATAGTTGAGCTGTCAATCACGTGCGGCAGAGTTGACTTCACTCGGATAGTTGCTGACATGTTGCTCCTAAATAATAACTGGATTTCTTTTGAAACTTGGCTCAAGGCTCATGAGTTAATTAGGGCATCCATCGGAACCCTGACATTTAAATCATAGTGGACTTCAACTCCCAGCAAAGCTGGCTAGAGAATTCTGGGAGTTGAAGTCCACCCATCTTAAAGTGACCAAGCTTGAGAAACACTGAAGCTCGCAGTGGTGCAGTGGTTAGAATGCAGTGTTTCAAGCTAACTCTGCCCACCGCCAGCGGTTCGATCCTGACCGTCTCAAGGTTGACTCAGCCTTCCATCCTTCCGAGGGATTAAAATTAGGACCCAGATTGTTTGGGGCAAATAAGATGACTCTGTAGACTGCTTAGAGAGGGCTGGAAAGTAGTATATAAGTGCTAAGATACAGGTTTATTTGGGGATGGGGGGGGCTAAGACAGTGCTCCCCAACTCTTCCTCTTTTAATATTGTCCTTGATTTGCAGAAAACCTACTTGGCACGCCTGGAGAGTTTACGCCAAGCCCTGGACGAGTCCAACTTCTTCAAGAGGCACGAGGTGATTTGCTGGGACTCCCTCCCCCGAAAAGGAGGAAAGCCCAGCGCTTCTCAGCTCTCAAAGGGGGGTGAGACCAAACTGTCATCCCACCACCCAAACTATGAAAAATATTTATTTGACCATCTTTCCTTTCCCTTCACCTTCTCTCTCTCCTTCCCTCTTTCTCTCCTTCCTTCCATCTTCCTTCCTCCGTCCCTTCTTTTTCCCAATCCTTCCATCTCCCTTCCTTTTTCCAACCTCCTTCCTTCCCTCCCTCCTTCCCACCAATCTCCCTTCCTTCTAACCTCTCTTCCCTTTCCCTCT